AAAATGTCGCGACTAGTGATATTGAACAAGATGATTTAATAATCAAGAATCCTACGTTTTTTGTTTGTCGAGTGTATGATAAATGAGATAAGCCTAAGTAAAAACCTAGACTTAGATAATCAATAGGTAAGCCCCGCTACACTTATACCTAGTGTCAAGAACAAAATTGTATTTGTATGTAGCTGCTCTGACTTTCGTCCACGGTTATTTTTTCTCTCGATTTCGCTGTCATTTTCATAGACTCGGATATATCTCTGTGATATTTTTGACAGTATAAGTCGTTATCTCTTTGCCGATGAATGACTTCCGTCATATTGTACGAACAATCTATTTCATCGTGAACATTCTTTTCGTCGCGCATTATGAATCGCATTCATCGCATTATTAAAGCGGCCTGCTTTTCCGCCGTTTTCCCACGGCGGTTTCCTGCCGTTTAGCTCCTCGACTTTGCATCTCTCCACGTGCCTTGCCTGATGACAGCGACGTCGGGCACGCGTTGCAAAAAGCGTCGAGATGCTCCTCCTGAGAATGGTCTCTGTCTATCGTGCAAATAAATCCGCGACGACGCATGATGCGCGCTCGCTCACGGATTGATGCATTATTTCATGGAACTGCGGCGAGGTAACTGCATTCACCACGACATCAAGAGAAAGATAGAGAGAAAGAGAAAGATGGACAGAGCGCACGAGCGAGCGGGCGCGTGTGGGAAACTCGTCGGATGCATTATGTATTTGTCGCTTTACTTAGTTGGGAATTACTTTGCCATCGTAATGACTTTTAGGTATAGCGTGCGCTATCTTAGGAATGCCATATCCCTGATTTATCACCCGGATCTCGTTTTTCTCGCGGGTCATTTTGTCGCTAACGCCAATACCTGTCCAGCACCCGCGAGCGTCATCGACAACCGGAGTCCGAGTTCGCCCCGCGTTGCGGGTCCATTGACCTTCTTTGGCACAACGGTGCCGAATTACAATCACCGGATTACGCAAGTTGAGAGAACTGTTGCCGACCCGATAAATCGTCATCCTCTTAATTCCTCGGAATTCGTGCCACTATCGGACAGTTTCTTTTTCAAGGGGCGTGCAACGAGTGTTGCTTAAAACTTGAAAAAATCATTCCTCGAGAAACGTCGACGTTGATCACTTATTGAATCAAGTCATTTTATTTATAATATACAAAATATTGCAGAAACAATGTAATATGTATCGTGTTTTAGAAATAAGTATTACTATATTGCCTCGACAATTATTTATCGATAACTTCGGGATTATAAGCGACAGAGAGGTTAAAAATTTTGATGAATTAAACTGCAATTTCTACAATGTCTCTACGTTGGTGTCTGAATTAGTTGAGTGATGAATTATAAAATAATAAGCAATATTGTTCATATATAAAGTGAGATTAATCTTTATCTCGCGATCGATGCACGGGGCGCCTATGTGCAGAAATGTATCTACGCGTGCTGCGTTTGCACAGATTGCCGTGCGGATAATGTCGGCAAATTGAATATGTAAAACGTATCTGGCATTAATGAACTAATTACAGCGAAGATATATCCACGGGCGGCATCTTCAACGAGACGCCGACATTGACGCGAATATCGTCGAGCTCGACAGGCTGAAGAAATCTTTATTTTTTCATGCAATTGTTTCGCTAATTGCCTTTGCCGGAATGCACACATGCATGAGAAAATGTAATAAATATTTGTGATTAATTAAAGATATAAGATATTCCAGTTTCATATCAGAGAAAGAGAAGAAAAAGTACGCTTTTATAGGTTCTTTTAATTGGACGCATGTATCATCGCTTTTTGTCTTCGACAAATCTTTTTACGACCGACGGTACCTTGTGAATTAACGTCTGAACTGTGAAAAGTATTGTTACAAGATAATTTTCCAAGGGATTTTGTAACATTGCATAACTGGAAAAAAATAGCACGCGACAAACATTCTTAAATAGTTTAATTTTTCCCGACAGTAATAAATAATATTTTATATTTTACGTATCATATATATTACAAACTAATATTAAAGTACCTATATTAGTTTCTAAAAACGTTTTGCATATTCATCCATGCATAAGTTGAATAAGAGCAATTTATTTAAATATATTCGAGGATAAAATAAAGATGATAAACATATGGAAGAATATTAAAAACATATATAATATATTAAATATCATAAAAATGCAGAGGTAAGATAATTCACTTTGTTAATATTATCTTATCTGCGATATTATTTCTTGGGCGCATTTATATCGTGACTGGTGATAGCATGTGAAAAAGAAATAGGAAAGAAAGAAACGCTATCATATTTCTTATCCGATTACATTGAAATTGAATAAACAACGCGACCAATGGGACAAATTAAGATTAAGAATAAATTCCTACACATCTACATCATACGCAAATACACGTGGCTAAAACATGTACTTAATATTTTTACTCTTCATGAGTTTATTGAATGACTACACTATCGGCATTATCGATAAACCTAGATAATTTTATCATGTTGCAATAATCCCGTCTTAACTTATGCACGTAGCTGCAATATATCATTCGTTTATTATCACATAGATATGCTATGTTTTTATATAAAATAAATTGTGAATATTTAATGTTAGTGAATATATAAAAAAAGAAAAATGTGACCATACATTTTAATCTAATTGAAGCATTGTATAATTTCATTCAATTGTATAAATATTGGATCAAAACGCGCTATTATTAACTCTTTGCGTTCTATGTGCTAAATGGGAGACTTTCAAAGTTCTAATAATTTAATTTTTATTTATATATTGTAATATATATAGAGAAATTAGATATAATATATCAGCTGTAAAAGAAGGAGGCGAGTATCATGTTTTTTTAAATATAAATATAAAAAATAAGGAATTTATCTAACATTATTAACACACCAAGAATGAATGGATGATTGTAGTGCAGAATGCAAAGAATTAATGCATAAATCACAGTCCTTATAATTTTATATTCGACAAAAACTAGATTTTTTTAAAATTCTATATGTCTGAAAAAGAGACTTGTCCTTAAAAGGATTAAAAATATTCGTCGAAATGCAGTATCGCTTAGGATTAAAAGAGCAACGTGTCTTTCAAGTGGTTGGATGATTTTCTCGAACGTTTATACGCAGATACGCGTGAAAAAAGAAGATCTGGATGAGGAATTTCCCTGATGCCGTCGATAAATCAGCTCGCGCGCGATTCGCGGCCGCTCGACGACACAATGAGAAAACTGTTCCGCGCCACGACAGGGTATGTCATTACTGCGTTACTTAGAAAGCCCCTTCGCGGCCACGCGCGCCGCATACGAATGAGATCGGGTCCGTCGGGGACGCGCGGCCGGCTATTACAAAACCTATGGAAAAAGCGACCTACCCGGCACGTCACGTATGCAAGGATACGCGAAGGCACTGGATCGAGCATTAACATGCACGTTGAATATTGATCGATCGATCCGTGGAAAACGCGAGTTTCTTTCGCGCCTGGAATCCGCCTGCGTTTTCATCATCCCGGATGTTCTCGTGGAAGACGGATCGCGATTACGAGGCTGTAATTATGATCGAAGCTGACTTCTATTCTCATACCTTTTGCGATACGATCCGGCTATGCAGCTATTGAGGAAATCTAGAGCATAAATCATCCTTAAGCCGGAAAATTCTAAATATTTTCTGCGACAGCCTGGGAAAAAGTTCCACGGAATTTCAAAGCTTTATCGGTTTCAAAACGAAAGACCGAGTCAACATTTTTATTTTATTTTCAATTCGTTTCTTCATTTTCTCACGTTTATAGATTCTAAAAAAATTCGATAGATTAATAGATAGATTTATTGATAGATTGATAGATATTGTAGATAGATTTAATAATAATAAGATAGATTAAATTTCGATAGATTGATAGATTTAATTTATATAGGAAATGGTCTCTTTTGTACACGTTAAATAGGCAGTAAAAGACGAATACTTTCCTACTTACAAGAGATTTTTAAAAGAAAAGTTATGGATAAAAATCATAGTATCAAAAATAAATATTAGATTGAAAATTGAGATCAGAAGTACATAGAAGAAAAATTGTGATTAAAGTCTTCATCGCTGTGTCAATCTTTAAGAGACATTTGTTTGCATAAGAATCACATCCGAGGATCAGAGAAACATCCTTCCGCGTATTCTTCTCCCGAACGGTACATCGCGGTACGAGTCGAGAAATCCCATCGAGGCGGCGACGTCGCTCCGGCCGACACCTATCCCATAAATAATCTCGACATCGAAATTCGTTTGACGGACCCATCGATCGGCGATGAGTTTTTCCCCCATCCCCGCGTCCGGCAATTGCGACGTGTCGACGTTGTACGCGGCAGCATCCCGTCCGACAGGTTATAGACGCCCTTCGACGCCCGGCGAATACGCCGGGTTTCTTCGAGCGAGCGGAGAACCGAGCTGCCGATCTCGTCTATAATGCCAGCATGTCTCAACAGCCCCTACCCCGTCGGCGGGGTTGAAGGTCCCTCCGTCGAGAGGAGGAAGCGGGTCGCGTCTCGGCGGGACCGAGGACGAGTTAAACGGGCCATCATACTGTTGTTTCTGCCGCCAAACGCGTATAACATTTGGACCGAAACCCTTCGACCACCCACTGCCGCCCTCGAAGAACAAAACGAAACGGTAAAATATAAATCCTCGTGCACTGGGGAGCAATGGCCGCTTGGTAGATGCACGGGTTGCCATGGAATTATTACTGAGAAATCCCATAATCCGGTTCAAGTCGAATTAAAACGATTTTTTACCTATGAATAACAAAAATGATTTGCGATTAATATTTTTAAAGCTATAAAAAATAAATAATAGAAAAAAGGTTTTATCTCTCCAATTCTTAAAGAAATGTATATAGTAACCAACTTAATTAATGTTGACGATTAAGGACTATATAAAAAGACAGTGTCCAATTAAAAAAGGTATAAGAAACGCTGATAGTTCCGACACACCATGTATGAGTATATGTAAGAGTGACTTGTGGAGGGATATCAAATCTCGTTGAAAGTTCACCGACGGAGGAAGCCGGCTTTGTCACTGGCACCGACGCATTTCTGGATCGGTAAACTTTCCAACGGCACCCAAGCGAACTTTGGGATGTATACAACGTAAATTGCTTCTGGAGCGTAATAATATCGTTTGGAGAAGAATGAAGATCGAAGGATATTATTTAGATAATTGAGATAAAATGCTATTTTTATTTTTCATTGAATTACTCTAGAAGGATATAATTGCGATTATTGGCACATCGATATTAATTCTACAATTGTTATAATAATTATGACAAAAATAACGCTTGTGTTGTTCTTGTAATTAATAACAATTATAACTGTAATATTGTGTGCTATTATCATTATTGATAATTGTATGACAGTGATTCTTCAATCGCCGCAATATAATATTATGGAATATTTCTGTTGCCGAGAAATAAAACTTGCAAACAAGTAAGTTTTGAAAAATGTTTAGATTAGAAGAGAAGTGTTTGTTTAATTACTTGAGAGAGAGGAGAGAGAGAGAGAGAGAAAGAAAAGGCTTTATTAAGATTAATTTTATTATCTAACGAATGCAATCAATCTAATCATTCTAAATAAAAAATTATCGATATATTCATCGGTTTTATGCGTTTGTGCAGCCGATTAATGTCAGACACAAAGTTATCTCATTATGGAGATAAGATACTTGTCAAAAAATATTACAACCATGTTGCAGTATTAATTTTATTATCGTGATAAGAGTATATGACAACGGAAAGCGAATGTCATGTATATAGCAAAAAATATTCAAAATTTTTAATTTTTAAACGTCTTCCTCATATAATCATCTTATTCATATCTTTTATAGTTTGCAGACCGGATCTTTCGTCTATGTTTATGCTTTAGCCAGAAAAAAAATTAGTACAATTGCTTTTTACATTCTATGATAAGAAAAGAGATTATGCGTTCGCGTTAATTCGGATGCGGATACTGCCTATCGAATCATATATATGTACAAAAAATAGAGCAAACACACATTCTCTGAAATCGTTCTCTCATGCATCATCTTACATATTTATGGTGGTTCTAACGAGCGCCAGGGAATCTAAATACATACGAGGGAATCCGTAACCGAGCAAGCTGTCCGACAACGTGAAACCAATCCGCATTCTCACCGCATTACGCATCGCGGCGAAGACGAAGAGAAAAGAAATGCCACGAAACGAGCCGTAAATCCACCTATCGCGGCTGCAACTACTGGCGTGAAATTAAAGGAGAAATATAGCAAAGAATAGGTATCATGCGGCGATGTATCATCGATGACATCTATGTTGAAATATTTCCTCATGGGGGGAATGCTTCATCCATGCTTTTTATCATCTTAATATATTTATCACCTTATATAACTAAAGAGTTCATTAAACATTCCGAATAGAAATTTTTCTATCATTTTCAACCGCAATTTTCTCATGTTTATGGATTCCAGTGGATTTCGCTGGATTTAATTTATATAGAAATTAAAGTCCTATAATTAAAATCCTTTATACCTCGAATAGATAGGAAAAAGAACAGTTTTCTGTCTATTAGAATTTAAAAGACGAGCTTTGGGAAAAACTATAGCTCAAATAGTTTCAAAAGAGAATGTTCTGATTGTTTGAAGTAGATGTTAGATTGAAAATTGAGATTGAAAGTAGAAAAAAAGTTTCGACTCGAGTAAGGAGAAAACTCGTTTCAGATAAGATAATTAATAATAGAATGAAAAAAAAAGAAATATTTTTCGAAATCTAGTTTTCCTTATTCGGTCACTTGTGGAATTGCTTCATATTCATTGAATTAGCAATTACCGGCATATGAATTGTGCCGCGGGATATCAGATTTCTACGAATAGAAATTGCAAATTTTCCGCTTTTCCGTACCGATTGCTTTCACGCGTGCGTAATTTTTATTTCCTGCGGGTATAATGTAAATCTTCAACTCGCTTCTCTCTTTCTCTCCCTTTTTCTTTCCCTCTCTTGCGTCTGTGTTCCTCTTTTGCACGCTTTCTATTACTTTCTATCGCGCTGAAAGATTCTCCGCGCGCGTTCGCGGGTAGATAACGGCGTTAAATAATTTCCACGCGGGGACGGAAAGTACTTTAAGCCAGCGCTATCTGCGGGTCGCGCCAACAAAAGGACGAGAGAAATCGTTCGACAAGAAACCGATGAAGGGTTTATCTTAATCCACGGTTCACCGAGCAGACGAGCTCCTCGCCCAATACCAGCCGGACCACCCCTTTCATCGTTTATGCCCGTCCTCTCGCACGTAACCGATCACACTTTGCTTGTTTTACTACATATTTTTTGCTGTCCGGACCACTTGTAATCGGAGCCGCGTTTGTAACGAGACGGATGGAGAGAGAATCGTCTTCTCCGTAAAAAATTCCTAATCTCAATGTTTTTGTCTAAATCTCAATCGTTTCTTTTTTCCATCTATTTTCTAAAAAGTAGCAATACATTCTTATCGCGTTTTCGATTTATCGAACGTTATTTTATTTCAATGTTTCTCGAACTCGAACACTTGGTTCTTACTATAATTTAACATACGAGAGAAACGTCTCGGGCAATTAAAATCATTGCATTGCAATCGCGACAGGCTCCAGTAACGGCGCTCTCGAGAGGCCGCAGAAAGGAAGAAACCGGCTTAAATGTTCTGTGACGTTCAGACCACTTCCGGAAACCACCCGATTCTGTATTCTAGATAAAAACAGTTAACGAAGTTATTGGCCGCGTTTAGCCGGCCGGCGAGATATCGTTGAAAAACGCTAAGAACGACGAACGACGAGGCGAATAAACCGATCAGCTGATCCCGCGCGGTCGGTTGACGTTTTCCCAGAAAGTTACCATTTCACACTCGTGGGTGGCGGAGTCGTTGCGGCAAAAATCCGGATTACGAAGGAAAGTCCGACGAATCGATTCGAAAGGATGTCACCGCTAGTATTGTCGAGGCTATGGATGAACGCGAACACCTGTAACACCGTGTCCGCGGCGTCACGTGCCCGGGTGTTGCTGTGACGAAAGATCCCCGACGATCGTGCAAAAAACCGGACCGGAATAAAAAGCCGATCGGGCTCGCGCTGTTCCTGAAACCTGGGGGAAAAGGGGGAGGTTCTCCGTCGTCGAGCGCGCTATGGAGAGACATTAAAGCGAGAACTCGTCGTTAGATCGTGAGATTTGCGGTTGAACGACGCGCAGTCCGACATAGTTCTTGTCTTTAATAATCCTTAGTCAATCATTTAGCGATTCTTCTCGCCTTCGTAGCGTGAATCGATTGTAATTCTCTCTCGCTACAGTTTGTCTACGTGAAACAATATCGATATGCTCCGCAGAAGAGAACTGAAGAATATTATCAGTATATTTAATTCTTCCTTCACGCAGGAACGATAGTTGGCAACTTCCTTTCGTCAACCGCGTGTAGTAAGTAAATTGTGAAAGTGTCTCATCAGTTTGTTCGAGACGATCGAAGAATCACCGGGGTGTACACGTTAAGTGTAGCCCGGATAGATCGCGCGGAACAAGCGTACCCGGCTCTCTCTTGATCAGATACATAGTCAGCATGACTCCGCGATCCGCACCCTCGACCACCGACGGTGTCCCGCTGACTATTTATCTTGTTACATCGAAGTGATCCGATTCTAACAGGAGATCAATGACGGCTGACTACCGCGGCTTCCCGGCTTCTCGTTGCATGCGACTCCTCACGGAAACGTAACAATGATACAAGAGGCTCGTCTTATAAATCGAAAATCGTCGTTCTATTGTCGATGTGTGTCGTCTTCTCATATTTTTCCTGTAATAAGGAAAAATACATTATTTAATTAAACGATATAAATGTCACAATATCTCTAAATATTGAATGTACAGAGATAAATGAATTGTATGATATGATTTTGCTTTCTCATTGTGTTCTGACTTCATCGAGCACGCACGCTGAGGTACTTTGTACCGTGATACAAAGATCAATGAGTCACATTTAATTAACTATGGAATATATAGAGAAGAGATTGTATAGAAATGCATCTCGTCCCACATATCTTTTCGATCAAGCAGTCGGATATATAACGAGACCGGTCATGTAATGCCCGATGGCAATGAATCAATAATGCAGAAACAAACCTATCGGAATGGCGATATAACGTGCATGCGGACACTTAAGGCGGGCGACGGAGGCCATGTGTTACCTAATAATTGTGTTCGATAGTCGCCCAACAAATATTTATTGCTACTTACTGGTCGGTGAATGTAAACGGGTCGGACCGCTCTAATGGAGAACATCTAATTTCGCCCACGCTGTCGCGCGATCGAGCCGTTCGTGGCCGAGGAAATTAATTTGGTCTGTATGTCCGTGTTTTCTGATAATACCAGCGTCGCTGGAGATATTTTCGTGAGTCATCAACGGCCGTTCTGGCTGAAAGATATATAATATATGTATAACGATCATAAAACGTAATCAATTTTTCGTCATTTTTTGCAGCACAAATGATGATTTTTCATACAAAGTGGATTGGGAAATGTACAACTGAAAAATAGATCATTTCTGTGTAAAAATATAGAATAATTTTTTTTTGCATTTTATTTTTGAGAGAAGCAATTTCAAAAAATTGAGATTGATAACATATTTACATTTCTTAAGCTTGAATAACTTTTAATGATGTATCCCTATTTTATTTGTATTTTATTACTATCAACGGTCTAATTTATTCGTGTTATTAAGTGAAGTATATAATCGCGTTGATTATCGACAAACTGCGAAAGACAATTTCCTTTGGACGCTAATCAACTAACAGCGTCAGAGAAAAGTACATGACAAGTCGGGATAATATGGATAAACAACGGCGAAAATGCTAGGGCGGATAGAGGCAACAAGAACCGGAACGCACGTCAGCCTGTCATCATCGCCGAAACGTCAGTAGGTGTTTGGCCAGGTCGCTAATGTAATATTGTTTGCAGGAGTATCGGATGTAGACAGCAAGTAACCCGGCAAAAGAATCGTTAAGAAAGTCTCTAAAGCTTCGCGGTCAGCAAGATATTTCTGATCGTCATTAAACGGCGAAAATTTCTCTCACGAAACTCTTTCCAACAGAAAATAATTTACAGATATATAAATTAGACATCTTTTTCTATATAAATTTTATTGTATATTTTTATAATATACGCCTATTTTTTTTTTATCGTAAACTTAGGTGCACTAAATTCGAAAGAAGCGTCTATAAATAAATATGTCTGCACACAGAAAAATACATACTATATACAAGTAAATATTACTTGTTTCAAGTATTTCAAAAGTTCATATATCCGCAAATCTATCACAAGTTCATCATAAGCTTCAAATTTATTCAAAATATATTCTGAATCCTAATAAATTTAATACTTCAATCAAGAATATTAAATTATATAATTGAAAGAAATACATTAAATTTTTCTGATCAAATAAATTTTCTTACATTAAATTAACCATATCTGAATTTTCTTCGATAAAATTTTATAATATTCTTCAAAAGAAAATATTTACTTTTTTTGAGTACATGATAATGAGTTTTTCTAAAATTTGTGACAAGTCTATTTTAAGACTATTATTAAGAAAATGTTCTTTGTTAAAGATAACTGTTATTTAAAAGAAGTAAAGTAAACTGAGTAATCATTTTACTTAGCAATAGAATAATATTTTTCTGTGTGTGTATAAATGGATATAACGATAATGTTTGAGCAATTATAACAATTATAATTACGATAGCTTACTTTAGCGTTCAAACTATCGAACGCAATAAAGTACAAGTCCGGCGAATCGCATGTATTGCCATTCGGCTGTGCCGTATTTCTGCACATCTATACTCATCGTGCCATTCAATTTACACGGATATGATATGTTCCGATTAATCAGAGGCGTAATTATATCGGCACTAATTAACTTATCGTTCGCGCTGGAAACGTTGCAAATCAGGCGAATATACAGGAAAATCATAAATATAATCGGTCGAGCGAGAGCGCGTGTGCATCGGGCATAAATTGCTTCTACATTAATAAGAGATTCGAGCGCGTGCAACGTTCCCTCGAGCGTATGTTTCCCCAATTTCCAGGGAAAAGAAGCGAGGGCTTGTTAGTCATTATTGTCTGCACGACGTGTCGAACCTGTTTCTGTTGCTTCGCCGATCGCGCTGGGTTCATTAGACGAGTAGTTTTGTCCTGGCATTACTGGCTCGAGACGGGGTGTTAAATGAACGATTAAATTACTTGGATATTATCTCGTCGTCATGTATGTAATGATACATTTTACGTTCATTACCGGCGGGAAGGGGGCGACATTCTTGCCAGTTTACAGTTAAAGAACAGGTTGTGAAAATAAATACGAGAGATTAGAAGATTACATATAACTCTGTTTAGAATGTACAATATAATATTTCTTTGTCAAATCTTTGCTACGTTGAGAAACGGCAAATTACAGATGTACTAATTACTGCGTATATTCGGATTAATAATAATATATATAATTATTCAGAAAAGCATGAAAGCGTTCACTCATTTTAAAAGAAAAACGTTTCCCCGATACGCGCACGTATACGTCCCTTTAAATGATACGAATGAGAAACATTTTTCTTCGTCTGATCGTTAAATATACTCCAGTACAAGGCGATGTATATTTTTATTTAAAATATTCAAATAAGATTTTGATAGACAATCTCTCGTAAACATGATCTGAAAGTATCTAATTGCATTGCGTGCTTCTCTCTCTCTCTCTCTCTCTTGCTGATTTATTATACCACCGTAAAATTATACAAATACTAAAAATTATACGAATGATACGGCTGAAACAATCAGAATATTTCGCGTTGCGCACGTATTTCCATCAGAGGCGGATTTCAAGTCTCTTCTCGTTTGAAGATAGGATTCTCTGCCCATTTAATTTCTTTGCATAAATTTGCATGCAAATGTAGAACAACTATAGTAACTGTTACAAGTATTACAATACTTACTAAGGAATATATACCTTCGCGAGTACCACCATCGCAGATCGCGTTATGTATCTCGCGTAGACTGTAACACGTTGATCAACATCGGCGACGGATTCTCGTTTCTTCTTCGTTTGCCAGGTCATTTAATGGCTCCGCTTCTTTCCTATGCCGTTCCGTCATCGACTTCCGGACGTGTCCGCGGCCAACCGTTTCGCGACGCCGTAACTCGTGCCGATCGGCGGCAGATTTGCGTGACCGCGACGCAAAATGCATTCATCAGGGTACCTCCCATCTGGATTTTTGCGCCGGCATTTTAATGTCTCGCGCAAATGATGATTTAACCGTCGTTTCGTTCTCTGTAATTTATCGCCCCGCCGAACGGCCATCGTTCCTGTAGTTCGCACGTGCTGTAGATAAAACCAAATGTTGCGTTAAAATACATAAAGCAATCTACAATTATATATATTATATTTTATAGGAATAGCAAGACACAATCAATTGTTAATGATTGGCATCGCGATATATCTTCAATGTTTTTAAATGCAAGAGAATTTGATTTATCAGAAACATATACAGATACATATTTTTAAAAATATATCTCCACAAAAATCTTTTTTGCTCTCTCTTAAAGTTTGCTGAGATATAGTAGTATAAAGTTGGAAGAAAAATAATTGTAAGCACATCGAACTATTGCATCAAACTATAGTATAACAGGTGTGCATAAAAAGGATAATCAGTTATTTAGGAAAAAAACACGATCGAGCGTGAAAACCAAGTCGCTTCTCGATCCGGGTCGCCGACCGTTAAAAATTAAATTATTACGTATTTTATAATCGCGTCTAGCGATCGATTAGTCACGATCGTAGATCAGTGACCGCCCACATAGTCGAACGGATTATAAATACGACGCAACGGTTACTTCTAAACCACTTCTGCTAATTCTCTTTAATTAATATCGTAATTCTTGATAGCCTCTGCAACAGTCATCACATGCGATAAGGATATAGAGATATAGGGATGATATATAGATGATAGATTAGTAATATCGAAGCAATAAATTTACTTTGTTTTAAGCGCGTGCAATTGAATTATTATTATATTTCCAGTTTTTATACAAAATCGAAGATTAAATAAGTATTATGTTGTGTATAAAAAATGTACAATAAAATGTTTTAAAAATTAAATGATACTCTTTTCAGGCACAGTAATTAATATTACGTTGTTTTCAATTAGAGGTGACTTTACAAAAATTAATGAAACATATTCTCAGTATATGAATGCATGGCGAGCTTATCGTTGATTTAATTACTTCCCACAGGCGCTTATGACCGGACACGCTTAATATTCTGCAGTCCTTTATCTTTCATTAATTTTTCTCTGGCAATTATTCAGGTGACTGCATAAATAATTACAGTCGCACTCGCTCGGTTTAACACGATAAATGGCCTGTCCGATAGTTATCTCAGTTTGATTAACATTGGATTAAGCGCTAATTATTCAATTACGGAAAAATATTCCGTTACGCTCAATTGGGTTCACGTACACGATAAAACGAGCGTTAAGTAATACCTTGCTAATATGATTATATGTATAAGAGAGAGAGAGAGAGAGAGAGTAAGCTAGCAAGCAACACACATATAAATTTACAGCTCAATCTGAAAGTTTATTGATATCGATATGTCTTTATATTGATATCGATGATTAAATATGATATCTCAATCGAAACATATAAATATAAATTTAAAGAAATAAATGTTATTTTATAAAACGGATAATTCCTGTTTAGCCATACTACATCTAACTTGCTTATAAAAATGACAATGAGATAATTTTTAATCTCTTAATTATTTATATTACGTTAGAATGATTTCAACGAAGAGAGCACAGTCGTTTCCGCGAATATAATTCCTATATCATAAATAATAATTTCGCGGACTTCCGGGCGGATCCCCGTTTTCCGTAAGAAACCACAGAGACCCTGCAGGAAAGATGATTGGCGACCGAAAGGGAGAAACGAGTTTATCCGGGTGGAGGTCCCCCTCCTCCCGTTTCTCAATCCCCCGCTGTCGAACGCGCGATGGGAATAAAATGTGAAACTGTAAATTGTGCGTGGGAAGAATCGGTCCCTGGGCGGTCGTGGTGGTCGACCATGCTTTTCGGTTGGGGTGGCCGGAGGTGGAATGGCTGGCAACGGGGGCGGAAGGGCTGGTGGTCGCGAGTGGAGCGGAGAGCAGAATCGGTTCTCGCTCGAGCGGAGGCGAGGTTCCTCGAGGATTTAAATGCGCGTTCGGACGAGCGAGACCGAGGGGTGTATCTCTCGTAGATCGGGAGGGGGAAGGTTAGAAATTTGTTAGGTTATACGTCGGACTATCACTCCCCAGTGAATATGAAAAAGAAATTCCTCGCGAAATTTTCGAGGGTCGGCTTCTCAAGGGTGGAGGTACGGCGTGTCGGCACTCCTCCCGGTACCCCTTGCCTCTGCGGAGGAGCGACCGGGGGATGGAGGAGATGGTTGTACGGCGAGGGACCGGTGGTCGGAGGATAGGAGGGATGTAACACGGTGCCAGGAATATAAAGCGGGGGATAAAGGAGATGGCGGTCACATATGCGACTCGTAAAAGCTCTTCTGAAAAGCTGCATCCGTCCTGCCACCGTTCTTCTCCCTTCCCTCTTCTCTCTCCTTTCTTCACGACGATTCTCGTCGAAAACCTGGCCCTCGCCATTCCAATGACGACGTGGCTATCGCGCTCTTTCAACGTCGTCGTTGACCACAAAAATTTAGCACTCGATTGTGCGACTTAACGTAATGGAGCGAGGTATATTTGCGTGCGCGTCATTTTGGTAAATTGTTCTCATTTTCATCGTGAAGTTTATTTAATCTCTCCTATTTTATGATTGCCAATGACGTATATAAATGCGCGTTTCAGTTTTAAAGAAGAGAAATGGCAAATATTTTTATATTTTATAAAATATCTTTTCTTTTTTTTAAATCTCTCTCTGTCTCTCTCTCTCTCTTTCTCTCTCTCTTTCTTCGTCTTTTGTGTTAAAAATAATATAGATTTGTAATTTTAAAATAATGAGTTGGAAAGATGCAAATTAGCGCATTTCTGCAGCATGACCGTTGCATAGCGGCAGATCACGGTAATGTCGCTGAATACGGCGTTTCTATGGAAACGTGGCTTACCCCAGTTTATCATCCGATAT